CATCCTTTCACATTGGGGACAACGTTCATATGTGTAACATGTTAATCGATCGAATTGTAATTAATTTAGCCGGGACTATTTTTTTTCCAGGTCAAAATATAAATTTTCCGATTGTTTTGATTGCACTATAGCTTGCATGCCGCATTCGGTGCCGCTCTTTTTTCTCTGCTCTTCCAATTGAATTTTTTTTATTAAATTGTCTGTCGTGGCGTGGAATATGTGTGTGCGCCAACTATTGTATGCATATGCACATACAAAAAGCCCGGAGTAGACACATACTCTCCCTCTGTCTCTCTATGGTGCGTGTGTCTCTATATCCGTATCTATGTGTGTGTTCCTCTCTCTTTCTTTCTCTCTCTCTCTCTCTCTCTCTCTCTCTCTCTCTCTCTCTCTCTGTGTGTGTGTGTGTATACCCCAAAAATCTGTGCATGTTCTCTGCTTTCTCTGTGGTTTATTTTCGCATTCATATTTTTTGTTTCGACTGTTCTGCGATCCGTGTGTTGTTGTAGCGTCGTGTAACATGTTCAACTGTCCATTTTTTTGGTTGTTGTCAATTTTGGACCATTTCACATAATGCATTTTGTTGTGTTTAGGCAACATACAAATTTTATGCTTGCATGAATTGCGTATGTGTAACATTATCTGGAAAAACATTGTAAACGAGCAGAATAACACAGGAGCAAAGGCAGACCAAAAAAAAAGAGAAGAGCAAGCGAGTGAGAGCGAGAACGAACGGGCGATAGATATGGATGGCGGTTTGGTAATAATAAAATGCTTGGCATTCTCGTTTAACGAGCCCGTCAAATCGACGGACACACAAGTATCGAGTGCATGTGCTCGTGTAACTATTTGTTCCTGTTTCGGTTCTCGCTTTCGGCTCTCCCGTCCTCGTCCGTCACACGGTCATTTTATGTAGATGTGGTAAATTATGGATCGATTCAATTCAGAGTACAACGTAATACATATGATGTGTTCCAGCTCAATTTTATGTATTTCACATAAATGATGTACACTGAAATGAGGGTGATGAGGACGATCGCCTCTCTGTCGAATTTTTTTCCCCACATCTCTCTATCCCTCTTAACATTCGTTGCGTATTTTATTTTTCACAGTCAAAGCCATTCGGCCACATTTATTATGTAACCTGGTGAATAAGTGATACTCGTTTAACGGGGAAAATGAATGAAAGAACGATAGAGCGGGAAGCGAGAGATAGAAGGAAAAAAAGCTTGACACGAGCTTTGCATAACATAAAGCCTTAAGACGGGAACACTTATTCCAATTTTTCTTATGTGCAAGTGGCTTGGATAATTTACCGAGATCTGTTTTTAAAGTGAACGAAAAATCGAGGTTTGAAATGAAATGAAATATTAGCATCATTGCAAATTTAATTGAGCGCAACAGAAACACTCTTTCACTCTGGGTGGCGTATGTGTGTGTGTGTGTGTGTGAGCCTGTGTAGATCTGTGTATGCGCGCGGCTCACCCAACTCCCAGCATAAATGAAAATTGGCTGGTGAATGGACGAAGCCACTTCGAAGATGCGAGCATTTGCATAAATTCATTCTTTAATTTCAGTAGATGTATCTGTCGTCCATAAATTTAAGATTAGGTTATCTTCGTCATAAAGCGGGTCGTGTTAAATATACACAAAAACCGTTAAGTGTGAAAACAATGTCATTATCCGCCTTAAGGCGTCCGTTTCGGGTCAAAACTTTTGGCTCTCTCAATATTCTCCGCATCCATTCTGCACACAAATACACGCGCGCGTGCACACACACACACACACGCACACATATTTAGCACATCTATGTGAACATGTTATCATTTATCATGATCTGAGTGCCATTTATTTTAATGACATTTAATTGCCAAACAGGCACTAACTATTTTCGCTTGCATTACTGCGCTATGCAATTTTCCATTGACCGTGTGTCATGCATGCACATGCGATCATGAGATGCTTTCAACCACTTTATTTATTAGCTTAACATCTAATTTGTTTCAATTGGAAATACGATTATCGTGCATTAAATTTTCCATTTGCCGCTCGCTCGTTCGCTCACTCGCAAGACACATACACAAGCTGTGGCATAGTTTGGCAGGAAGGAATCCGAAAAGGAAATGTTACCAGTTACTCTCTGATTGAGAGATCCTTCATCGTTTTAGTCAAACACTTCAACATATTCGGTCGGTTTGCTTCTCATCAGCGGAACTAGACTACATCTGTTTTTACAATTCCACCAAGACACTCGTCGTTGAAATAGATATCTTTTGCAAGTGATTCGAAGTTTGAATCTCCTTTCGATCTTTTGGCCTTTTTTTCCGACGCCATTTGAATTGGCTAATTTTTTTTTTTTTGGAATGTGTTGCGTGTACTTGGATCAGTTTAGAGCCATATTGTTTGGTGTTCAATGCTCACATTATTTATTCACACACACGGAAAAAATGTGAAGGAAAAAAAAGCATATGTTTTTCATGGCGCCACATAAATATCATCTACGATAAAACTTTTTCGATTGGTTTCGAGTTCTATTCACAGTTCTTCGTGTTTGTGTGTGTCTGTGTTTTTTTATTGCCATTTCATGTGCGCTTCGATCTGAACTCGTATGCAAAGTGTTAAGGGTTCGAATCGATGTATGTGTGTGTTTATGTGCATGGCTGCAAAGCCGCACAAAGTTTCCTTCATTTTTGTGGAGACAGCAAAAAATCCCCAACTCCATGGTTAGTTTCATTCCCTGCGACAACGGACGCTCAGAAAGATAAAGAGAACGAGAGCAAAAATAGACCAGAAAGAATTTATTAATTGAATCAAATATTTGATTTATGCTTGCAAATATCGACGGTGGCAAAAAGAACAAGAGCGAATAAGGAAAGAGATGGGAGAATCACAGCACACACATGTATAACACCACACGACACGGTACGAAAAGCAGGGAGAGAAGCGATGAATTAGTACGTGGTTAACCGAATTGATGCCGTGCATTCATTAGGCTAATTATGAAAAATTAATAATTTAGCATTTCCCAACCGAAGGAGAGAGAGAGAGAAGGAGCGACAGTCACAAACTCAGTGTGACACATACAGCCACACATACTCACACTGACAGACAGCCAGATACACACATAGTTGGGAACGGTTGAGTTGTGCTTGCCGTTAAATACACGTGATTCGATTTGATGCGAGAAGATTCGGTTTTGCGCTAGCACTTTGTCGGTTTGTTATTCGCATTTTAATTTGTGACAAAAGACATACTCTTGCTATCACATACGTCGTAGGTAGAGAAAGAGTGAGGGAGTGTGTATATGTGACGAGAGACTTGGTATGATTTCCAGTTACTCCATCAACAGAATTTCCATGTTGAACAGAAGAAGAAGAATAAGTGAGAAAAAAAGCGCACGACAACGCTCATCAAAAATTCGTTTGACAGAATTCGTTGTGTGTTTGGTGCAAACCGAGAACATATGGGGAAATCGAAAAGTTTTTGTTTATGTGCTTGCCGCCTGGAACACACTCAACCAACTCGGCTCGTGTCAATATATGAATGAATTCAATAAATTTTACGTATAATATGGTGTGTAAACAAACCGAGCGAGTAACACATCACTCCAACGGCGTGCGTCGTGGTCGTTGTCGTAGTCATCGTCGTTATTCTTCATCTGGATGCATATAAGTTTTCGGTTTTCCATCTTTACCATTCCAAGCACTCAGCACGGTACTGGTGAGCTCTTTCGTCGTACACATGAGATGCGTACATATGTATGTATATATGTGTTTGGAGTTCAAAATCAAATAAAATAAGACGATTTGGTAAACCACGTGCATAATAATTGTTTGTAAAGGAATCTTCGAATTTACATATTTTATTGTTTTTGTTGCGCTCCCATGCCCGTTCCCTCATACACTCACACACACACACACATACACCGTGCACACTGTATGTTATGTTGTGTTGCCGGTTGTTGTGGCTTTCGTGTTTCTTTTTCGTGTCTATTATTCTTCAATTGCTAATTCATACGTGATGGAATTTTGCGAAACAAACACACGCATTAAAATTAAGTCGAGCTCATTTTCAGAAGGCTTTCTGTACCTTTCGTTCTCGTTCTTTCTCTCTATTTTAGTGCATATTGCCTCATTTGTCTCGTATGCAAAATTTCGAAATTTTCCACTCGGTCCCATCAAAAGATGTCTTAATGTTTTTCGTACGTTCATCGTCCGCGTCGTTTGCTTCAAAGCACACACAATTAAAGTCTACCCAGATTTAAATTGGGACTTTCTTAAGCGACCTTATCAATTATTATGTACAACGTAGCTTTCTATCTCGAACTCTCTCTCTCCCTCTCTCTCTCTCTTCATCACACTCACACACACACACACATACAACATACATGTTGTTATATGGGTTCGAATGAATTTGTGCATGGTCAATTTTAATTCGAGCATGAAAACATTTATTTTAATTTATCCGATGGGATAATAGGATTTTAGGTTGATTTAGAAAATGCTAAACGAAAAACTAAATGTGCGGACGATAAGCTTATCGAAAATAGAATGTTTATTAAGTCAAATGAAGGCAACCAGAGGGCTGCGAGTGTACAGAATCACACAACAGCCACTGGCACAGGCAACTCTCTCTCTCTCTATCTCTCACTCACACTCACTCACTCTCACTCACTCTGAACGATTCAAGCGAACAACGTCAATAGACCGAGCAGTTAATTAAAATGGATACAAGGCTTTGTAGCCTATTGTATCACTATAGTTTGTTGTTTGATGTGTATTTTGTGTCTCAATCGTCCATTTCCGTCCAGATTTTGGGTGGTTCTGTGTCAGTCTCCCCCTGCTCTCACTCACTCACTCTCTCTGTCATTGTGTATATGTATGTGTTAATAGATAATACATACGAGCGTTAAATGCTGGCCATTTTCGTCCAACAAATATGACATTTTGTAATTATAATAATGTAATTTCCTGTGCGTTTTTTTTCATTCATTTCTGCAGGTTTGCTCGTCTCTTTCAAACGGTCAATCGGTTCAGCTGACACATCAAACATAAAATTGTTTACAGTCACACACAGAAAAAACGATAACAATAATCAAAATGACACAACGTCAACGGCAGTGGGGCATAGTGGTGCTCCTGATAGGCATTTGCGTGATTGGCACATCAGCTCAAGGTAATGTTTAATTCCAATTGGAAACTCAGATGGTTAATTAAATAGAATGCATTCACAGTAGCCAATTATCGGGCTTATCCTAATTACATCTAGTCTCAGGTGCTTGGAGTCTGCGGAATTGTTGAACAGAAAACAAATTACAAGAACAAAAAAGTTTTTATAATAATATCTCGATCCGTCATGCATTAATGAAAATGGGAGAAAGTTTACCGATGCAAAATATCCATTTTTGAGATAATGACAAAATAGGACAATCAAGAGAAAGACATAGATTTTGGATCTCAAGCAATTATTTCGTCTAGATTGCGATGAAATTTTTAAGGACAAATGTTTAGACAGATGATGATATGATACAGAACGAATGGCAGTGTGCGGACATCTCCAATGATTTTCAAATATTTCAAACGTTGTCAATGGAAAAGCACTTGACACATTGTCTTTGATCTGCGATGAAATGAATAAGAGCCGTAAAATATAACAAAATATGAAGGGCAAGGGAATTTCCATATACAAACTTAATTGACGTTAGTGATGGACTTGATTTGAATTCGTATTCAAACGAAAATCAAAAGTCCTTTCTGAATGAATTGTCCTGAGTTGAAATCATTTCAAATTGCTGTGAGCGACAACCATTGCAACAAAATAACGACATACACACACACACACACACACACACACAAAGCTTCAAATCATTCTTAACTGAATTGAATTTAATTGATTTACCACTGACTTGGCATCATTCGCCTTCAGGCAAAATTCCCTTCTCAAAGCTGCTCTCTTTCTCCATCGTTCATATTCCCATTTCCATATTCCATTTGAAGTAATAAATTAAAGTGCAGTGTGCCGTTCGATGTGGGAAGATGTTACAGTACATAAAGGAAGAGAAAACACAAAATGAAATGAGAGAAATGAAATAAATGCTGTGTGCCGTCTTAAATGCAGCGAATTAAGTGAATGCAACTCGTTTTCGACAGTTATGCAAAATAAACGAGTAGTTTATTTTACCGCTGAAAGCAAGGTGTACAACAGGGAATCGTTTTGCCAGTAGTGCTCGACAGCGCAAAGATTAGGAATGGGGGAAAAAGGAATAATCATGCGAAACAGGAAAAAAAATGTGATGAGCAAAACGTACAAACCATCGCTAACACTTCAGCAACAATAACAAAAAACGAAAGGATAGAAAAGATTTGCTTAAATACAGACTAAACTAGACAGAGAGCTGAGAATTGCGTTGCATGCAGTTTATATTTTTGCAGCGACATGAGCATCATGAATATTCGTGTGCATGGTCAAGACTTTAGCTCTTTTTTTCGCTGTTGTTGTTCTTCTTTATCCTGCCATTCCTGTGAATCTCTTAACTACTGCAAAATGTTTTAGCAAATCCCGCAGCCTGACAGCTAAATCACACGCCAATAAATTTAAAACCATATTTCAAATTGGAAACTTGTTCTGTTCGTTCGTTTGAAGTTGCATTTTTGCTCTTCACAAATTGCCATCAATTCTATATCGTTAGCAAACCATTTGTGAATATGGGCTAGTTTAGCTCAACAACACTGCGAATGACAGGATACTCAATGTTAAGTATTTGTCGTGATCAATGGTCATTTGCAACCGCATTATTTTGATGTTTCTATCAAATGAGCTGCTAAAATGCGAGCAAAAATATGGCAGTGGCGATGATATGAAGATTCTTTCACAGATACAAAGACCAAGAGTCTGTAATCCAAACAAAAATAAGCGAAACAATATTTCAATATGCGATTACAAATCCAATTTTTCAATCAAGAAATCGCGTTGTGATCTGGACGTATTTTTCTATGCAATCAATGCATTATTGTTTGAAGACAGCAAAAAAATGCGTTTGTGGTGTTAATCAAATTAAGATTTCACTCTGTATGCGATTCTATGCCACAGTTCATTGTGGTTTCTCTTATTTCGTTTCCAGAATGAGAAATTGAAAGCAGAAAAATGCCATCGACTTCGTTCCTTTTTCGATTTATGTTATTCATTGCATTCGCCGACTGTATGATACGGTGAACAAAAGTTATGAAAGAGTCAGCATGACGTTCAACTACTAAACGGTTATCCTCTCTGGCTTTCCATCCGATGCACCAAAGCACAACAGAGCCGAGAGAAGAAAAAAAAACGATAGGCAATTACTAAATAAAAAGCTGAATAAACAGAATATATAGCACGAATAAGAGAATATGAAAAATAGAAAGAATGAGTGAAACAGAGGCAACAAGAGTGGCGAAAAATCTTAGACCACAAAAAAGTAAACAAGCAAAGCAGAGAGAGAGAGAGAGAGAGAGGGAGTAAGAGTAAAAAACACACAATATTATGCATTCGCATGGGTTTTCAGGTGTGAAAACTTCTGCCTAATGAATAGGTGTTTCGGTACGTTTTTGTTTGCATACGTACACCACAGGCCATAAGTTTGGATACCCCTATGAAACGTTTGTTTCTACGTTTTTTGAACATTTTCACTTGAAATTTAGTATTGGATATGAAAATATATCGAAATTCTGACCGAATGAATGATTTGGAAGATAACATTTGGCCGGCCTATGGCCATCTTTTGGTCTTTGAGCTGTGGGAGCCAAAATCGAAGTCTTAAACGGGCCATCGGATTGAAAAGTTAAATACGCCATTGGAAAGGTCTTGAAAAGTAGATGTGATTTTTGGTATTAAACATCAAAATCGGCCGGCGTTTGGCCAAGATATGGCCGTTTGTAATTTTTGGCCGAAATTTTCAATCAGCCATACCTTGGCCAAAAGCTGGCCGATTTTGATGTTTAATACCAAAAATGATACGTTCTCTCTGAGACCTTTCCAACGACGTATAGCATGTTGAAATTGGACAAGCGGTTTGAAATTTAAAAATTTTGGGCCAAATTCATTCATAGGGGTATCCAAACTTATGGCCTGTGGTGTATGTGTATGTGTGTGCATACGGTTGGCTGTAAGATAAAAGTGACCGCGCTAACCGCAAGCTTGAAATTTATTTCCGTGTGAGAAACGAACCGACACAACACTTCATCCTTTAATAAAATGCGCCTTCAACATGAATGCGCTTCACTTGCAACGCAGAATAATGTGAGCGCATTGCAAAAAAATCTTGGCATTTCAATAGACAATTAAGAAGAAGAAACATATCAGTCTACTTCTTTTGATTGTCGATCTCTTGTTTGGTTTGCGGCATCGTCAATGAGAATGCAATTTTATCAATTGCATGGAACCGCTTTCTAAATTGAACGCGCTGCAAGTCTCTCTCTCTCGCCATCTATCCCGCTTTACCAATTAAAATATGATCTTTAAAAGACACAATGGCCGCAATCAATCTGCTCACCATGCGCCCATTTATTTATTAACAATTGTGAAGTTAATTAAGTTTTAAATTAATCGCGTGAAAATCCAAACATAAATACATATGTACATACATATATGCATCGATACATGTGAACATCATTATCACAAAATGATACCGAAAGGTGACAGCAACAGCACACACATATATATATATCGAATATGAGAATATCCCCGGTGAAATTGTATGTTTATGTAGTGACACATTTGAATGTGCGAAAGGATTCGGTTGGCGAACGAAAGCGATTATTATGCATTATTATTATGCTTATATCCAGAATGTTCGTTACATGCATTCGTTCGATTTGTTTTTCTATTCGCCCCGTAGGCCATCCAACAAACCAGCCAACGAACCGATCGATCGACCGACCGACCGACCGACCAGCCAACCAATCAACCCATCTATCTCTAATGCACGCACAATCGATAATAAACGATACACACAATCATTTCAAATCGATGCCATACCATGTACTTTATTATGTTTGAACACGCATAAATTCTGAATTTGATTGTATTTCAAAGCAATAACTCGAAAATGGAAAATTCTCACCAATAATAAAGCCTTTTGTTTAAACCAATTAATAGTTCGAACGCGCCCGAGTCCGTGTTCGTTGCTCACATTTTGCAATTACATACTCATCGACAGATATAGATATTGGGCCGATGGACATGGACACGGACACATTTTCACGAAGCATATGCAATGGTTGGTATCGAAAACGATGCAATATATTTCGCTTGTCTATTGTTGGGATATGATGTGTGAATGTGCGTGAGAGAGAGAAAGAGAGAGAGAGAGATAAAGGCAGATGAAGCGAGACACAATAGACAAAAAGCGCATCACACACCGTCACTAAAACCGCTTCAGTGAAGCGTAGTCACAATTTTACAATGTGAACTATTGTATTATTAGTATCGGAATGCATGTACATTATTGTGGTTAATCGGCTATAAAAATCGAACACTACACACTTGATGCCATGATTGAACCGATGCGATAAAATGACAAATGCAAAATATTTTCCGTTTTAAGACAACAAAAAAAGCACTCGCCAATAAACCCACTATCTATTGTAAAAACAAAAAACATGAATAGTTGGCGGAACAATGCAAATATTGAATATTATGAATATTCATCACTTTGCACAATCCAATTGATCATATCCCTTTGATTATCACAATTATTTCTAAGCATTCAAATGAATCGATGCTGAAATTCGAATTCTTGAATTTCCACTGAATGCATTTTCTACATCCACTGAAATCAACCAAGTTAATTGAACTAATTGGTGTTGGTCACTTGAGCAGAAGGTGCAACGTTCAGTCGGAGAAATTTCTTGGAATCAATTCTATGATACAGCATGGAAAAACTCGGTGGAACAAACTTTAAATACGGAAGTGAAAAGCTGTCGTGCTACGTGTGTTCAACCATACGATGAACCAAAGCGCATTCGGTGAAAAATTGAAACAAGTTGCCAGAGAGGAACTGCATTAGTCATTTGACTAATGGACATCCGAATCGAATGTAAATCAAAAGGAACACAACCATTCGAACAAGAACCAGTTATCAATTTGTTTAATTAAAAGTAACAAGAGTCCAATCTGCAAAAGAACATTCTTAAGTAATGCAGAATAACAGAAAAAAAAGAATGAAAAAAAATACAACATAATTTTTTTTTCCTACAAATTGCACGGAAACCGGTCTGTACTCACATTACTCACATTCTTAGTTTTTGTTCTACACCGGCCAAATGAGAAATGTTAAAGAACTTTTAAAACTAATTTACAAGTTTGATAAAAAAAAGCGTAGTAGTGCTACGAAATTCACGTGATTTATGAATCTCAATGTACAGTTGGAAATTCCCAGCAGCACACTCGTTTTTTCCCATTCTCCTACTGTCATGCAACACAAATTACAATGCACATAGATCAAATACATAATTACTTATTTCTTATCTGCAGCTCTCATGTCAACGCATCGTATTTTTTTTTCTATTCTGCAGCAGCGTTTGTATGTTGAATTCATGCATCGGGTTCATGTACAGTATGCGTTGAACGAACAATTTAGAATATTTACAGACATGATAACGATCGCTGAAATGATGTCAATGACAAATGGATAAGAGAGACCTGTCCTCTCTCTATATATGTGTGAATATATCTACCTCTAATCTTCCTCTGTCTCCTGCACTAATGAACAAACCGTTTCGATTTTCACAATTGCATTTGCATTTTCCATTTCCGATGCTGGAAGCCATATTATATTACGATTTATTATCAGATTTGTGCTCCAATGCGTTTGAGCTTTCATTGTGATATGGGAGAGGATATTTGATAAAGTCGAATTTGAATTGACATACGTTTTATTGCTTTCAATTTACAGGATCAACATTTAAGTGTCCAGAAGAAGGATATCAAGCCGATCCACAGGACTGCACAAAATTCTATCGTTGTGTAAAAGAAGAATCGGAAAAATTGAAAGCGTATGAATTTAATTGCGGACCAGGAACGGTGTTTTCCAAAATTACTGATAATTGCGTTTATCCCGAAGACTCGGGCCGACCAGAATGTGCTGATGTTGCAACAAATGTCATCGGTACCGGTGGTAAGTTTAATATTTGAGAAGAGCGACTTATTTGTAGTATTGATTGTATCGATCTCTGTGAATTTGACTCAGATTCAGAAAGTGGTCAGCAACAACAGCAACAACAGCAACAACAACAACAGCAACAACAACAGTCCACTGGAACGACACCAACGCCAACGACACCCAAACCAACTACCACAGCAGCACCACCAACCACATCGAAGGCACCAAGCAGCAAAGTCAAGTGCACACAAGAAGGTTTTATGGGCGATCCAAACGATTGCAGGTACACCTAAATATTCACACAATATTTGTTCACTTCGTGGGAAACTCTGATAATTAACCATTGCTTATTTTTTGCCATAGCAAATTCTATCGGTGCGTTGACAATGGAAACGGTGGATTTATTAAATATGACTTCACATGCGGACCAGGCACTGTTTGGGATCAAGAAATTCAAGGATGTAACCATGCATGGGCGGTGAAAAACTGTGGCGGTTCTCAAGTAGCAAGCGATAGTTCGTCGAATCAGCAATCGTCTAGCAGCAATTCGCAAAGCTCCTCCAGTTCATCGAGCAACTCATGGCAAGAACAATCACAATCAAGCAGTACTCAATCACAACAATCGTCTTCATCAAGCCAAAGTAGCAGCAGGTAATGATTACCTACACAATTTTTTCTTTACTTAATGCTAAAAAATTTGAGTGATATTTCAAAATCATTCACATTTTACCAATAATTCTGTTATGAAATTCTAATGGCTTCTATTGAAAGAAAACCGCTGTTTCGGGTGATTTAATTTTTCTGAATGGAATCATGATTCGTGGATAATGCATTTTATAGACCGAACATTTATTGGATAATATTTCAGTTCATCATCGTCATCATCGCAAAGTCAGAACAGTCAAAACAGCCAGAACAACCAGAACAGCCAAAATAGTCAAAATCAACAATCATCATCAGGCTCGTCATCCGGATCAGGTAGCTCCAACCAAAATTCACAAAATCAAAACAATCAAAACGGAGGAAGTCAATCACAAGAAAACAATTCAGGCTCTGGTTCCGGATCAGGCAGCTCCTCATCTTCTTCACAAAGCCAAAACAATCAAAATGAAAGCCAAAACCAACAGAGCGAATCGAATTCGGGCAGCAGTAGCGGAAGTTCATCATCGTCATCTCAATCACAAAATCAGGGCGGATCATCTGGTGATTGTAAAAAGGAAGGATTCTTCGCTAATCCAAAAGACTGTAGGAAATTCTACCGATGTGTAGATAATGGCAAAGGCGGATATACTAAAT